ATAGATGTTCATTATTCATATTTCTACTTGTGATTGGAGGGGTGGAGAACAGAAGTCAAAGAAGCTTGGCATGTGTTAAATGCTACTTACCCAGATACCTCTTCATGCTTTTTTCAAAGTCACTTGACACCTCATTTATGAGACTTTTCATTAGTTCTTCTCTTTCTTTCCCTTCTTTTAAAGACTCAGGTATCAGCATTAACATGTGATCCAGCCATTCCTGCTGAATAGGTACTATAGGACTGCTTTCTACACATTGCTTCATATAAATGTAGTTGAACTGAGAATATAATAAGAAAAAATGAAGTGTTCTAAGTGGTGTAGTATTTCAGTGTAACTCCTGAGCTCTGTCTATTCAAGACAACATTTTTTTCAGAATAGAAGTATTCTGAAAAATAACATGTTTTCAAAATAAAAACATTTTACCCAAAAGTATGACCTACAAAGAAACCATTTTTTAAGTGCTCAGTTTATATTTATTGAATGAATAAGAATTGGAAATTGGGACCAAAGAGTGGGCTAGGGAAGCTGGGTGTGCCCATGTATTATCCACTCAAACATTGAAATATTTAGCATTAATCCATTAAACAGTCAGAAACTGGTAACTATGAACTCTAGCACAAAGGTACACAATTGATAAAACAACCAAGAATGACAGGAAATAACAGCAATAAATTATGGCTGAATATTATTAAGTATTTTAGAATATTTAATCAAGCTGATTAATTTAAAATATTACCATGGTGGTTTTTTCCCGACCAAATCTGCATTTTACACTTGAGAAAACTAATCTTGTAATAATCCCTTCACTCAAACCAGGGTTGGAGCCTAAGGTTTTCTGTATTAAAATAACATATAAACGCAGACCCATCAGTATCTTACATAGAAAATAGAAATAAATTAGGTTGTCTTTCATATTTAAGAGTGTACTATGAATTTAACATGCAAGCTTGTTGGGACTCTGAATAGGAATACAGTATTGTAAAACAAAAAACAAATAATGTCTCATCTAGGGAAAAAATATGACTTTCTTGTGGGCAATACATGTGTGGTTTAAAAAGAGAACAGAATAATGATCAAGAAAAAAGAAAGAGGAGAAAAGGCTATAGGGTGTGGATAAGAACAGAAAGGTAGCAGCTAAATGAAACCAGAAGAAACAGAGAGGGGCTCCAATACAGCATACCCAAGTGGTGGGGCAGAAACAGAACCGATTAGAATTTAATCTGGAGGGGGGCATCTGAGTAGAGTAAGAACCAATTGGTCACCTCCAGGATAGTGTGAGATAATCACAAAAACAAGTTGATTTAGGCATACCAGAGCCTCAAGCAGGAAAGGACCCTGGATTTCTGGAGAGTAAGAAAGGGGACTGAAGGGAATGGAGGGCCTGGAGTGGTGGACCAAACAGAAGTTCATAGCCTCAAAGGATTCAAATAGGGAAACCTAAAGAGTTACAGGAACTGGGAAGAGGAGAAAGGGATTATTTAGAACCTTTATGTTGGGCAAAGGGCTCTAAGCAATATAGACCTCTACTTTTGAAGCACATCAACAATATACAGCAGGTGTCCCTGAATTTCATGTCACTGTTACATGGCTAACCTGCAATCACAACGGCACTGTGTCCTGGATGAAAGCAGTCAGGGCTGGAGGAGGGAGCCCTGCCAGGGGAGTGAAGGCGGGGTGACAAGTCTAGAGGTTCTTCCCACTGGACCCATATGTGGTAGCAGCCAAAATGAATTTCTAGTAGGTGAAATGTCATATACTTCATAAAAGGGGCTTTGTAGATGAAGCATGAATGAACTAGATACAGAAGGCAATCCCTCAACTTTTAATACCTGGAAGAATAAATCATGCTCTTCTGGAGCCCTCATGTATGAACTATAAGTTCACTGGAGGTCAGGTGTCTGGGCAGGAAAACATTTTGCTCTGTCTTTTCAAAGAAACCACTTTATATTTTTCTTTATTTTTGATGAGTTCTTGCCAAATTAATATTCTTTGTATACTTTTCATTTTCTCAAGGCAAAACAAAGATCCTTTGTTTAACTTATTATTTCTTCATTCAACAAATATTCATTGTTCCAGTAAACAAAGACAAAGCCCTTGGTCTCTTGGAGATTATATTCTGGTACAATAGCAGCATAATTTTATAAATTCTCCTGTAACAATAAGTAATCTAACAAAAATAGACAAATACAAGTAGAAAGACAATACTTAATCTTGGTAAAGATATTTTAACATGAAAATTTAAGTTTGTCTCAAAATTAATTTAATGTAATCCCAATAAAAATATCCGCATACATTTTTATAGAACTAGACTCGTTGAGCCTAAAGTTCATGTGGAAAAATAAACATGTGAGAATAGCCAAGAAATTCCTGAGAAAGAGTATCTACAAGGGAGGACTAGCCCTAGGAAACATTAAAACATACTATAAGGTCTCTCTAATTAAAACAGTGTGGTACAGGAGCTTGGATAGATGGACTAGCAGAAAAAAAAAGAAAGTCCAGAAATAGGCCCAGTATGTAGAAAAATTTAGCATATGATAAATGTGGTATCTCAAAGATGAATATTTTAAAAAATAGTTCTGGGACAACTGGCTAGCCATTTGGAAAAAGAGAAATTTAATCCATACCTTCCACCATACACAAGAGTAAATTCCAAATACATCAAGAATTTAAATTAAACAATAAAACTACACAAGGACAAAAAAAATGGATAAATTCTGCTATAATTGAGGGTAGAGGAAAACTTTCTAGCTATGATTCAAGTTCCAGATACAAAACAAAACAAAAAACGACTGACAAATTCTGACTACATAAAAATTAAAATGTTTACATGGCAAAACAAATCACAATAAAAATGATCAAAAGACAACTGACAATCTGGGACAAAAGATTTGCAATATATATCTCAAAGTATAAAGAATGCTTAAAAATGTAAGGGATAGATGAAATTTGAAGACATTATGCTGAATGAAATAAGCCAATGACAAAACACAAATATATAATTCCACTTATATGAGGTATCTAGAGTAATCTAATTCATAGAAATAGACAATAGAATGGTAGTTGCCAGGGACTTAGGGAAGAGAGAAATGGGGAGTTGTTTAGTGAGTATTCAGTTTCAGTTTTGCACGATGAAAAGTTCTAGAGATTGGTTACACAACTATGTGAAGAAACACCACTGAATTGTACACTTAGAAATGGTTAAGATGGGGGCGCCTGGGTGGCTCAGTCCGTTGAGCATCCAACTCTTTGTTTCAGCTCAGGTCATGATCTCAGGGTCATGGGATCAAGCCCCGTGTCGGACTCCATGCTCAGCAGGGAGTCTGCTTGAGATTCTCTCTCCCTCTCCCTCTGCCCCTCCGCCTCCCCGCTCGTGCATGCTCTCTCTCTCTCAAATAAATAAATATTTTTTAAAAATAAATTTTAAAAAAATGGTTAAAACGGTAAATTTTATGTTGTATTTTACTAGATTTTAATTTCAGGGAAAATAAGACCAAAACCCGATAGAAAAATGGGGAGAAAATATGAACCAACATTTTACAATAAAAATATTATAAAAATGGTCCTTAACTCTGAAAAATATTTAATCCTATCATAATTTAAAAAAGCATACTTAAACTACCCTGAGATACCATTTGTCACCTATCAGACTGATAAAAAGTAAAAATTATGACCCCCACCTTCTGTGGTGAGACTACGGGGAAGAAGTACTCTCACAAATTGCAGGTAGGAATGTGAATTGGCACAATCCTTTTGGAGAGAAATTTTGCAATATCTACCAAAACTGCATATTGACCCAGCAGTCCAACTTCTAGAAATTGAGAATATACCTCCAACAATACAAAAACACACATACAAGGTTATTCATGGCAGCAAAATATTGGAAACATTTGAGAGTGACCAAATAAATTATTATACATCCACACATTGATGTTCTGTGCAGCAGTGAAAAAGAATGAGGAAATCAAATCAACACATTGTACATCTTAAACTTACACAATGTCATACGTCAATTCCATCTCAAGAAAGCTAGAAAAGAAAAAGGATGAAGAAGATCTCTATAAACTGATATAGAGTAACTTCTTGGTATGTTGTTAAACAAAATGCAAAAGAATATTTAAATTATGATGCATTTTGTATAAGATAAAAGGGGAAATATGAAAAAGAATCACTTCCTTTATGAAAAATTAAACATAGGAAGGATAAACCAGAAATTAATGAGACTGGTTATTTAAAGGGAGTGGGTTTGGGACACCTCGGTGGCTCAGTCACTTAAGCATCTGCCTCAGGCTCAGGTCATGATCCTAGGGTCCTGGGATTGAGTACTGTGTCAGGCTCCCTGCTCAGTGAGGAGTCTGCTTCTGCCCCACCCTACCATTCTTGGGCTCTCTCTCTCTCAAATAAATAAATAAAATCCAGGAGCGCCTGAATGGCTTAGTTGTTGGGCGTCTGCCTTCAGCTCAGGTCATGATCCCAAGGTCCTGGGATGGAGCCCCACATCGGGCTCTCTGCTCAGCGGGAAGCCTACTTCTCCCTCTCCCACTCCCCCTGCTCATGTTCCCTCTCTCGCTGGTTCTCTCTCTGTCAAATAAATAAATAAATAAAATCTTTAAAAAAAAAAAGAGTTAACTTGAAGAACTCCCACTGGCCAAATCTGGGACAACTGAATGTCACGATAAACAATAATAATAACAACACATTATAACTCAATGCCTACAATAAGACTCCATAGCCCATACTGGTATGAGTGAATGATGAGAGAAAGGATGAAGTTCTTCCTTACTATAAAATTCCAACTAAAAAATATACAAGGAATGATGGAAATATTATTTGGTAACCACCATAATAATCATTGTTTCAGGTAAGAATGTTAACATTATAGGAATAGGTAAAGCATATAGAAGAATTTTTTATAAACTTTTTACCACTTTTCTATAAATCTGAAATTATTTCAAAATAACAAGATGGTTTGTATGTTTTTTTAAGATTTATTTGTTTGCTTATGCATTTATTTGACAGAGAGAGAGTGAGCATGCATGAGAGAGCACAAGCAGGTGGAGTGGCAGAGGGAGAGGAAGATGCAGGCTCCCCGCTGAGCAGGGAGCCTGATGCGGGGCTTGATCTCAGGACCTCCATCCCAGCACCCTGGCATCATGACCTGAGCCAAAGGCAGATGCTTAATCAACTGAGCCAGACAGGTCCCCTAAAAGATGTTTAAATGAATGGTCTATTTGTACATTCTTTCCTTTGTTTCTTCAATTTTTTTTCAATTAGTTGCTC